CTTTCACAAGCATTGGACTTGTAAGAGATCGAAGGAAAGACCATGACTAGCATTGGACTAGCCACGGTAACGTACATTCCATCCACATAATCAGATATAATACTAAAAGCAAATAGGCATGTAAGACACATAGTTTCACATAGCACGTAACACATAAGCATACTTGTCTAGATGCAGAGTCCTAGGGAAAGCGATTAAACACATAGGCATATAAACACGCACAAACACATAGCACACAAGCCATATCTATTACAAAAGGGGATGCCTACTACAATATAAAAGGGGAAAAGAATAAATGAATATCTAACTATTACATCTTGGCATTTAAATGCCTTTCAAATAGCCAAAATTGAACTAAAATAAGTATGCAAAATTAAAAATAAATAAAGCGAATAAATAAATAAATAAATAATTCAAAAGGCAAGCAATTAAGCACGTAAAGTCACATAAGGCACGTAGAGTCAAATAAAGTGAGAAATGAGGAAAATGGTGTACCTCCCTTGATTTGAAACCCTAATGAAGTGAAATGACTTATTTACCCTCCAAAAGACAAAGAAAATGTCAAGGCATCACGAATAACCACATACATATGAAATTGAACCATTAAAGGCATTTAAATAACTAAACAGTCCATATTCGCAAAATTAGGATTCAATTGAAAGGAAAAAGGAAAGTTTGAGGGGCCGATTTGATTGATTTTCTCAATTGTTTGGGCCATAGTAGAACAAAGAGGAACTTGGGGGTTTAAAGTGTAATTTTTTGAATTACTTTCCATGCATGCTATGAAGAAACAAATTCTCATCTCTGGTTTCCCTTTCTCTGAAGCCTACTGTGTTTCATTACCAACCCAAACATTACCAACAAACATCGACTTTTGAATCAAACGATCACAAGACACTCCCCAATTATCAAGCAAACCAACTACTTCATCTTTATTGCAGAATCAAGGCAGAAAATATGGAATGATAGCTGCCAAGGATACAAGAAATAAAAGCAAAAGAAAGAAACAAAAGTGCAGCAAGCAATCTGTAACTTTACAACTTATTAACAACCCAAAGAGCTTTACATTAGGCTCCAGAAAACCATGATAAAACACTGGATTGAACAAGCAAACAAATAACCCATTCAAAGCTCATTCTAAGTTACATTCATTCCAGTTCTCCTTCCGCAATTTTAGTTATTTCTTCCGCCGCTTCATCATTCAACTAGGATGTCTATGTGAAATAAGTCGAACCCAGCCTACTGGTTCCCTTAACCAAAAACCAAATGCTATAACCCCAAAGCCACATTGTTAATCTTAACTAAAATGCGATTTGCCCATTCCCAGTAGAGTAATGGTGCAACTGAACATGAAAACGCATCAAAGATAGAAAGAAAGAATCTTGCACTGGACATGCTCCTGGAAACCTAGTCAAAAACAAACAAAGCACGAACTTCAGGTAACCCAAGATCTCAAACAACCCAAAAAGACTAATCTATTGCAACAAAACAAGAACAGAGAGTCCCAGCCTTTACTATGGCAACTCTCGGACCTTCCCAAAATGGTTCTAATACCTAACCTAGACTTGACCCAAACGGATCTTAACTCACTCAAACGCCACTGGTGGGAACTTGAGACCATGGAGAGAATAAAAATTCATCCAGCTTTCAATCACACAAAACAACAAGATAACCTGAATGCCTGCTACATTTTTACCCAAAATTTCCAGCAAAACACACCAAAACAAGAATAAGGAAACTGCTGGCTTTTATCTCACGGTCCTACTAAGAAGATTCGAAGCACAGTTGGATAACAACTACATTTATGATGTCTCAGTTAAGTAGCATACAGAACAGAATATAAAAAAGCCACCATGAAAACAGAAGATCATTATTAGTCATCAAGTATCGGCAGAACTTAAGAAAGAGGAACATCGTGCATAAAGGGTCCAAATTATATTAAACCCAGATAGAGAAGAGCCCATGGTTACCTGAGAGCGTTTAGGCTGCTGAATGAACAAAAGAGACCTCAAGGGATCGATCCTTTCTGTAAACCAAATCCAAACTGAATCGTAGAGGGTTCCAGTGCTGATGCCGCTAGTCGAAGAGTTCTTCTTTCTCCTCCTCCTGGTTCTCTGACTGAGCCGCCCTATTTTTCCTCAAACCCTTTTTCTCCCGAACTCCACTGCCCCGGAACTTTCTTTTCCGTTTCTCTCCCCTGTCGCTCTCTCTTATTCCCTTAGCGTCAAAACTCTCCCTTATCCTTAGCTCACTCCCAACCCTTTGCTGGTTTTCCTTTCTTCCGTCACACACACACTCCCTCTCGATTCACTCTCCCGTAGCCTCTCTTCAGCCTTCAGCCGCTACCCCCCAGCTCTCTCTAGTTCTCCTTTTTCTTTTCCCGCCGTCACCCTTTTTCTATCCCCCATTGAAACCTTAGCTTTCCCAGCTTTTTATATGGAACCTTATCACCGAAACCTAGCATCTAAGGCACAGGAATAAACTCCATTCTTTTGCATTATTTACAACCTTAGATCCTCATGGTTTCTGATAAACCTTGGATCATGCCAAGTGTTTTCTGTTTAGATCATCTGACGGAGGAGAAAAAAATGAGTCAAACAATGGAGTTGGAAAAAATTTTTGTATATCTGCGTTTTGCAGAAAAAAAATGAGGAGGGGTTTTGATGCTATGCTTCTCATGGTTCGTGAGCCTGTCCCTTTTCTTTATTTTTTTTCATTTTCGTCATTTTCATTTTTTTAATGAATCATTTAATTAAAACAAAATAACAATTTAAGTAAAAACTTGAATAAAATGAACAAAAACTAGGAACAAAAGATAAAAACAAAATGCTAAGATTATTTTTTTTGTGTTTGATTAATGATTTTTCCCCTTTTTCTTTTTCCCAATTAATAAACAATAAACTTAAATCTAAAAGAAATAAAACATATTTTTCGAACCATTTTCTTTTTCCGACGAATCTTAATACTAAAAAGTCTTAAAATAAAATTAAATGACTAAATGAGCAAAAAATAAATACTAGAATAAAATAATAAAATAATAATAATAATAATTTAAAATGCTATAAAGCGCTAAAAAGTGCCTAAAATAAAAATCATGAGATTAATAAATAAAGTAGATAATAGTTATTACTAAAATTAAATTAAAAATTTGGTGTCTACACCACCTCCCCCTAAGGCGAATCAAAGGGTTCTGCGGACCACCTGCTCAACTCTCGTTGGGACTCAGTCGTTCACTTCAATCAAATCCAAAATACAATCATAGAAATAACATAACAACAATCCAAAATTTAAGCGAAACTTATATACATTGCTATCTAAAAAAGAAATACAACCATCAAATATACCAAGATTCTCAATCCTTTATACGTCCAGCCTGTGCCAAGCACTAGGGCGAGAACCATTACAAAATCAGAAATCTAGCCTAAGCTAGTCTATAAAAGCTCCCGTCCTGGCTCGCTTTCCCCTGTTAAGGAAAACAAAACTAAAGGAATGAGTTAAAAGCTCAGTGAGGTTCCGAACATATAATCAAACAATCAATCAATACATCAAACATAGAGTATCAATAATTCAAGAAACATTTACAATGGAAAGTGATGATAACACATTCATTAAAAGGATACGGGCTCACAGGGAGCCATTCGTTCGTTCGTTCGTTCGTTCTCCTGTCATTCCCCTTATTCCTCCAATCATTTGAAAATGCATTTTTGTAAATAAAACCCTCGTTCGTTCTTTCGTTTCATTCACCCCCTTCCTGGACGTTGGCCAGGCTCCACCAGAATACAAGGTAATACTCGAGTATACCAAATTCACCCAGGGTCACTATATCGCCCGACCGAATCCGCTTCTGACTCGAGTAGATCGGTAACGAATGGCAGGGTCCAATTCAGCGAAAAGGCTTACATCATGCACAACTAACGTTTCAATCGTTAAATCATTGAAAATTTTGCATTCATTTAGGTCGAGTGTGATAAAGTACACACTCGCCTAGAAAACTCGTTTTGGAAGTCCTTGAAAGCACTTAACACCTTATCAAATAATAACACAAGCCATGAAGTCAAGGAAAATATAGCAAACAAGGAACACTCACCTAGTTATGTAAAATAACGTCCAAAATATCCTACCGGATATTACCCTCGATCACCGATGAAACCTAAGATTAAACGAGAAAGAATATTACAGTTTATCCAGCACAAACAATTAGGTAAAATCGAAGAAACCCGACAAATGATAAATAGAACGTATCAAACGACTTTAAAGTGAAACAAAGGCATTTGGATCTGTGGACGGAAATAACTAGGGTTTCATAGACCAAACGGAAAACCAAACTTCCAACGGAAAACACTTGAACCAAAGACAAGTCGGAATCCAACTAGATAGGCTAAGAAATACTGTTTTCAGAATCGTTTATATGGTTCGAGATCAACTCATTTTCAAATAGATATTATAGACTAAATGTCTTGATGAAAATCATGTGAAAAGGAGGGCAAAATACCTTACTTGAAAGTAGTTCACTTGTGGCCGAGAAAACTCTAATTCAAACCTTGATATTTTGGCAAAGAGTAAGTAACCATTTGTAATTTGAAACTAAAGAGGTGGCATGTTTTAAAATGGTAGAACGGTCATGGTATTTGCCAAACTCATATATATAGGTTCAAATAGAAACTTAGCCCTCGAACACCTCTCGAGCGAATCGATGAAATTGTTAATGAAATACGTTCAACTTGACACAAAACACATTTCCAAAACCATTTTAACTCATTCTCATGACAAGAAAAGAAACGAACAGCATTTTCCCTAATTTTCTTTACTTTCGCCCTAAAATTAAAAACCCATTCTCTCACCATTAATTACAATCACATATATCGTCCATAGGTAATAAAACATGTCTAATTAGGGCACAAAACTCTTCAATCAAAGCTAATTAGAAGCTCCAAAGCCAACTATAAGAAAATCCCCCAAATTAAACCCTAGAACCGGAAATTCATGCCATAAGCGGAAATTCACACCATAACCGAAAATTCACACCATAAGCTAATTAGCTCTGCATGATCAAAAAATGTAATAACTTTACCACCTAACAAATATGATTTGAATTTATCTAAAGCAAAAATAACTGCAAGAAGCTCTTTCTCAGTAGTGGAATAGTTTAATTGAGCTCCATTCAAGGTTCGGGACGCATAGTAGATAACGTGAGCTGCCTTTCCCACTCTCTGTCCCAATACAGCCCCTACAGTATGATCACTGGTATCGCACATGATCTCAAATGGCAAACTCCAGTTAGGGGGTTGGATGATCGGGGGTGAGGTCAATAGTTCCTTCAACTTGTCGAAGGCTTTCTCACATTTGTCATCGAATTCGAAGGCCACATCTTTTTGTAAAAGTTGGAATAACGGGGCTCCAATTTTCGAAAAATTTTTGATGAATCTTCGATAAAAACCTGCATGTCCAAGAAAAGAGCGCACCTCTCACACACTTGCGGGGTAAGGTAAAGCAGATATAATATCTATTTTCGCCCTGTCAAATTCGATACCTTTAGAAGACACAATATGCCCCCAGGACTATCCCGTGCTCAACCATAAAATAAAATTTTTTCCAAATAAGCACAAGATTAGTCTCTATACATCTTAACAAGATCAATCTCAGAATATCTAAACATGTATCAAAACTATCACCATACACACTGAAATCGTCCATGAAAACTTCAATTATTTTTTTAACATATTCAGAAAAGATACTTACCATATATCTCTGAAAAGTTGCCGGTGCATTGTACAACCCGAATGGCATCCGTCTATATGCGAAGGTCCCGAACGGGTACGTGAAGGTCGTCTTCTCTTGATCCTCTGGTGCAATTGCTATCTGAAAATATCCTGAAAATCCATCCAAAAAGTAATAGTAAGCTCTACAAGCTAAACGTTCAACCATTTGATTAATGAAAGGGAGGGGAAAATGATCTTTTTTGGTGACGGCGTTCAGCCTACGGTAGTCAATACACTGCCTCCATCCAGTGGGTTTGCACACTGGTATGAGATCACCCGATTGATTAGCCTCCACTGTCACTCCTACCTTCTTTGGGATTACCTGGACCGGGCTCAGCCATGGGCTATCCAATATCGTGAAAATGATTCCCACATCGAGCAACTTCAAAATTTCTTTCTTCACTACTTCTATCATGAGGGAGTTGAGCCTCCTTTGGGCTTGCCGTACGGGTTTGGCATTCTCTTCCAACCTAATCCGATGCATACAGATGGAGGGGCTGATCCCCTTAATGTCAGCAATAGTCCACCCTATCGCCTCTTTATACTCTCTTAAAATCTGGATTAACTTCTCCTTTTGGGTGTCTAATAGTGCAGCTGAGATAATTACCGGGAGTGTTTCGTTGTCGTCCAGATATGTATATTTTAAGTGTTTCGGCAGGGGTTTCATCTCCAATACAGGTGCCTGCACCACAGATGGTAATACCCTTTGGTGAGGTTCGAGAATGAAAATAGGTGAAATTTCATACCTTTTTGTTGAGGTTGGCAATGAGTGTAATGCCCCTATTGCGCATTTCAAATCTTCACTCCACTCCACTTCAGGAATTGTCTCCAACTCGAGGTGCTTGGTTAAAATTACCTCCAACTCATCCCTGCCAACAGTTTCAAACACTTCCTGCACCGCCGAGTCAATAGCATTCACAGAGAAAACAAAGTTAAAGTTGGAGTTTGAGGGGTATTTCATAGTATCAAAAATATTAAAATGCACAATTTCCCCATCAAACTTCATGGACAATGTACCCTTATTAATATCAATTTTGGTCTGTATTGTGCTCAAAAAGGGTCTACCTAATAGCAAAGGTGAGGGATCAAGGGAGTGATCATCATCCATGTCAAGTACATAAAAGTCAGCTGGAAACACCAAGTCATTAATTTTAACTAACACGTCTTCAACCAACCCATCAAGATATGCATTGGTTCGGTCAGCTAATTGGATAATTATTCCAATTTCTTTTAATGGATCTAAGTTCAGAGAAGCATAGATAGATTTTGACATTACATTGATAGATGCCCCTAAGTCCAACATGGCCTTCCTAATCAAAGTATTTCTTATCCTACAGGGGATAGTGAACATACCTGGGTCCCCGCACTTTGGTGGAATTTTCCTCTGTAGGACCGCTGACACATTTTCCCCAACAATGACTCTTTCATCTCCCCTCAGCCACCTTCGATTGACGCACAGGTCTCTCAGAAACTTTTGCGTACTTCGGCACCTGTTTAATTGCGTTTAATAGGGGAATATTAATCTCTACCTTGTGGAACACCTCCAAAATCTCCTTCTTCTTATCATGTTTCTTCAATTTTTTCAACCTGTTAGGAAAAGGCAACGAGTTAGCCTTAACTGGAATGACTGGGTCCGAGAGTACCTTTGGATCCGTGCCATTGCTGTCCTCCCTCTCAAGCTCATTTCGATCTTTTCCTCATCATTGTCCTTAGGAATCACAGGTTCAGGCCCCTGAATCTCCTTCCCGCTCCTTAAGGTCATTGCACTTACATTCTTCAGGTTCAATTCAGGCTGAGACGGCAATTTACCTTGGATTTGGGACTCCAAATGGTTGATTATTGTAGCCATTTGACTCATTTGATTTCTTATGTTCTGCATTTCAGAGTCTGTTTTTTGCTAATTAGCAAGTAGTTGCTTCATCATTTCTTCCAAAGACGGACTTGAATTTGAAGAGGGGGTGGTAGGGGGCTCGACTGTTGATACTGCTGTTGATGCCTTTGCTGCCTATTTGGTGCAAAGTTGGGTTGCCTATTTCACCATAGCTGAAGTTAGGATGATCTCTCCAACCTGGATTGTATGTGCTCGAGTACGGGTCATAGGTCTTTCTTGGCGCGGGCGCATGACCAGCCATACTCACGTGCTCTGCACTGTTTTCCTGAATCATTGGGCACATGTCTGTAGAGTGACCCATACCAATGCAAATCCCACACACCTTAGCCTGTGAGGCACTTCCTACAGCTAATTGTCACACGAAGGATGTCAATTCAGAAATTTGCTGCTAGATAGATAATGTTTCTACCTCATTCACCCTACGCGTTGGGACATCCTCCCTTGTACCAAACTGCTGCGAATTCTCAGCCATTCCCTCAATTAGTTTCCATGCTGCTCGAGGGGTCTTGTTCACTAGTGTCTCTCTACTCGCGGCATCAATTATGCTCCTATCTCTAAAAATTAGCCTCTCGTAAAAATATTATATGAGCAACTGCTCACTTATTTGGTGCTAGGGGCACTTGATGGATAGCTTCTTGAACCGCTCCTAGTACTCATAAAGTGACTCCCCTGGGTGCTGCTTGATACTACAGATTTCTTTTCTTAGACTTGTAGCTCGAGATGTAGGAAAATATTTATCTAAAAATTTTTTCTTTAACTAGTCCCACGTGGTGATGCTACCTGGTGGTAGATAGTACAGCCAGTTTTTTGCAGAGTCCTTCAAGGAGAAAGGAAAAGCCTTCATCTAAAAATTTTTTCTTTAACTAGTCCCACGTGGTGATGCTACCTGGTGGTAGATAGTACAGCCAGTTTTTTGCAGAGTCCTTCAAGGAGAAAGGAAAAGCCTTCATTTTTATCTGCTCCTCTGCAATGTCTGGGGGTTTCATGCTGTTGCAAACTACATCAAACTCTTGCAGGTGCTTATAAGGCTCCTCACCTGGTAAATCATGAAAAGATAGTAGAAGATGAATTAGACTAGATTTTAATTTAAATGGAGTGTTATCATTTAAAATGGAAAAGGTAATGCATAAAGGCTGCTGATTTAAATCAGGAGCAGCAAACTCCTTTAATGTTCGTGCATTAGCCATAGCAATTTTCTCTTGATCAGAGTCACTCGAAGTGTCACCAAACGAATCTGTTGGGTCAATTTCAGGCTCAAGTCTCTGAGATGCAACACTTGAGTGCTCCTCTCTGAGCTATCTGGTCTCTTTTTTCGTTCTACGTGTAGTCTTCTCTACCTCGGGGTCGAAAATTAATTCACCAGTATGAGAAAAACACGGCATACACTTGAAAAATACCAGAAAGTTAGAACAAAAATGAATTTAAAAAGAAACAAATAATAACGCCAGTCCCCGACAACGGCGCTAAAAATTGACAGGGTGTCGAACCCTGTACAATAATAAAACCTGCTCAAACTAAAAGTAATTTCTGTAGATAGTGGTAAGCAGGGTCGAATCCACAGAGACTGGGAGTAATTGTTTCTTTTCAAATTCGCAGTGACAATGGGGTGTTTTTATATCAGGGGTGACAATTTAAGCAATTCAACTAAAGTAAAAGAATAAAAATAAAATAGCTAATTAGAAATTAAATAACAATTTACTAAAATCAAATGAGTGGTAATTAAGGATCTAACCAAGGAATAACTTCAGCAATGGTTCACCTAATTGATTATTGAAACAAAGGCAATTCCAATCATTTATCAATAAATAGGTTATAACTACCAAACAAGCGATGGTAGTCAACACCTCTTTACTGTGTCGGTGATTAAGGTACGCCTGTTAATCACTGCTCTAATTGAAAAATAATTTTAGGTATGCCTCTAAGATTTAATTCCCCAATTGCTTTACGTATTAGAGGAGCTCTATTCTAACTAAATAACGCACTACCAGTGTTATTTTAGGTTAGCCCGCGTATTCCCCTAACACAAACTCAATCATGCCAGTTATCACTATGTTGAGACAATTAAACAATTACGGATTTAACGTCCCAATTGACAATAGACTATCAAATCAACTAATTATCCGAATCCAAGACAATCAATTAATTAAACAATTATAAGCACTGTAACCAAGGAATATGCGAATACCAATAAATAAAAGAAAAAAGTAAAATTAAATCGATCTCACAATTTTAGGTGAGCCAAAGCATCCGTTGCTTCTTGACTAGAATGAGAAAATTAGTTCATATTTGATGAATAAAATCCACGCAAAATGGAAGAGAAAACCGTGGCCATCATACTTTGAAATTTGGGAAATTCAACTCGTCCAAATATTGAATGGATAATAAAGCTACAAAGGTAATTGGTAGTTTTTTCCTCCATCCGACACACAAGAAAGAAAAGATGCTACTTAAGACTCTAGGGAAGAAAAGTCAAAGTTCTAAGCTACACTCTCATACGAAAAACTAAGGAAAAAGCTAGGTAGTGGCTGTCCCTCCATTCCTCTTCTATCTAATTACTAACTAAAACTCTCCTCTCTAGCCGCGGCTCCCATCAAAAGAAGAAGCCCTTCAGCCGTCCTTTCTTCGCAAAATTTACCAGAATAGGCGTAACACATTCTTTTCCAAAAATGCCCCTAGGACAAGCTCTATCGTCCGCACTCCTTTTCTGCCAAATTAGCACCTGTTGTTATATTTTCGTTTTACTCCCCGAAATAAATACAAAATACTAAAAGTGAGTAGAATTCAGCAATTAATCCACATGGGGTCAGGAAATAGGGGAAGTTAATAATAAAATAAATGATAAAATCGTACCCTATCATTTATCTCCTTCAAACAGAATTTCGTCTTAGCTAAGAGTCTATTTCTTTACTAAATTCTCATGCAGCTTGCATATTAATCTATTTATACCAAATGGACAAAAGATTATTGCAGGTTCTTACCTTTTCTCTTGAGGGTTGATACCGCAGGCTGTTCAAATTTTCTGGTCCTAATTCCTCAAGTCTTAACTCCAATTCCTACTGCTTTCTTGCAGCACCTTCCTTATCTTTGGTTGTTTGGTGATAAAGCTAGCTATGATCCTACTCTCACTTCCTCACTCTCTCTGTTTTTCTCTCGATGCTAGCTTGATAAAAAGAGGGACTGCAATTTTGTTTTGCTCTCAGCCACTCCCCCAAACTTTAACAGTTAGTTTTCTCCTTTTCTACTTGGTCACCACTTGGATTTGGTAGATCATTGGCTATGAAATTTTCCTTTGGTTTCTCTCAATCACCGCCCAAACTAGACTCCTATTTACTTCCTCAATTCTACCGCTTAGGCTTAGTAGGTTTGGTGGCCATTTTCAATTGATTGTCCTTCAGCCACCACCCAAGTTTTCCTAGCAAATAATGCACCTTACTTCCTTGGGTTGCATGGTAGTTTAACCAAAATTCCAAGGTTGGTTTGGTCTTTCAATTTTAGTTCATTTGGTTGCCATGAGTCCGTAATTTTATTGTCTCACATCTTGACTCAAAATTTCGTTCGTTCTATTTTGTATGTACCTTGATAAGTTTTCCTTATTTTGATCTAATAGATTTTCACATATTTTGCTTGAAAGAAAATTAATTAGGCATGTACTTATTCAACTATATAATAAATTCAAATGTCACAATTTGCAATATGTCTATCATATGTTTATTTGATTCCTAAAATTTTCTACACCATTCTATTATTTTGCTTATTGTTTTATTTATTTATTATTTCTATTTATTGTATTATTTTTTCCTAAATTTTTAATTTTATAGGAATTCAATTATGCATTTAATTTAATCATTTATTTGTTATATATAATATTTCTAATAACAAATTAAATGTAATGAAATAAATTTGAAGTGTACACATAAATTTCCAAGTTCTCACACAAAATACATTCAAATGCTTCACAAAAATATTGAATGTTATGTGGATGACTTGGTTGTTAAATAATAAAAAAAAAACCAATCACTTGGAGGATTTGAGACAAATCTTTGATCGGTTGAAAATGTATCAATTCAAAATAAATTCTCTCAAACATACATTTGGAATTACATCAGGAAAGTTTCTTGATTTTGTGGTCCGTTATCGAGGTATTAAAAGTGATCGAGCCAAAATTAATGGTATATTAACAATGCCTAAACCTCACAATATTCATGAATTAAAAAATTTTCAAGGGCGGTTAGACTATCTGCGGAGGTTCATCTCAAATTTGGTTGGAAGTTATCAACTATTCAATCACCTTATGAAGAAATGTGTACCATTCCAATGGGATGAGGTGTGAAGTAATGCATTCAATAACATTAAATCTTATCTTATGAAAGCGTCTGTCCTGACAACATCTATTCATTGGAAGCCATTAATTCTTTACATTGCTATCCGAGAATGTTCAGTAGGGACATTGCTCACGCAAGAAAATAGTGAAGGAAAAAATGCTGCCTTTTATTAGTTAAGTAGAATGATGACCTTTAATGAATTAAACTACTCACCTATTAAAAAGTTGTGTTTAACTCTTATTTTTGTGATATAGAAGTTAAAACACTACTTCTAAGCACACAGAGTGAGACTCACCTCTAGGAAGAATCTCATAAAATATGTGATATAAGTATACTAGTATTATCTGACTGTCTAACTTAATGGTATCTTCAAATACTGGTAGATTTTCTTGCTGATCACCCAATACTTGCTGAATTGGAATTGTGTGATGATCTACTACATGAAGATGTCAAGTTACTTTGAAGCAACGTATAAGAGTCAACATCCGTAGAAGATTATTTCAATTGTTACTTGTCAAGTAATGTAAAAGAGTTAACATCCATCGTTGTACCCTTTGTTTCATCTTATACAAGGATATGCTATATTAGATATTATTTAAATATGTATTCTTGTGCTGTCTAAATGAGGATAAGACATATTAAACTATACAAGAGGCATATTCTGGAATATGTGGAACCTATCAATCTGGTCCCAATTTACATTTTTGAATTAAAAGAGTGAACTATTATTAGCCTACTATGATCAAAGATTATATGAAATATGGTCAAAACTGTCAAACTTGCCAATTTCATGCAAATTATATTCATCAACCACTGAGCCATTACATCTGACATTGTTTCTTAGCCATTTAATGCTTGGAGCCTTAATGTTGTTGGGCCATTGCCTAAATCGTGTAGACAACATTTATATATATTAGCTGCAACCGACTACTTCTCTAAGTGGATTGAAACTGTATTACTCAAGCAAATGAGAAAGTAAGATGTGGTGAACATCATTCATGTTAATATTATCTACCATTATAGAGTTCCTCGATACATTATCACTGATAATGGAAAGCCCTTCATGAATAGGTTGTGTGAGAAATTCAAATTCAAACAATGCAAGTCTTCCATGTATAATGTCCTGCCAATGGCCTTGTTGAGGCATTCAACAAAACTTTGTACAACTTGTTGAAAAAATTGATGGTCAGATCAAAGAAGGATAGGCATGAAAAGATAAGTGAAGTTTTTTGGATTTATCGCACCACATATCAAACTCTATCACAATCCACTCCTTATGCCTTAGCTTATAGTGTAGAAGTTGTTTTGCATCTTCAGCAACAAATTCCTTCTCTGAGGATTGCTATCCAAGAAGGGCTCGTAGAGGAAGAAAATGTTCACCAACAAC